ATGTAGCACCGTACGACCTATACCGTGCTTCGCTACCAATTCGGCTCTCTTTCAAAGCACTTTAAGTTAATTCTTACGGTGCCGCATGTCAGCGTCTTCGGACATACTGCCAGCAGGAAATTGGAGCCACATTCACGTTGGTGTTTCTCCCATACAGTGTCCTAAGGTCCAAGGGCATGTCTTCAAAGCTTTACGTAAAGCGCCAACGCTGCTTTCACGTTGCGCCGCAATGCGTATGGACGGACAGCCCACAGTCTTACATCCTCTCATGGGATACTTCTTCATCGATAGTGCCTGAAGTTTTTGTCCCAAAGCCCATGTCTGAGATGTCTACCATGCTAGGTGGGCCATAGTTGCCCGTAGACCCGACACATACTCCCTCTTCAGCGCTCGTCCGGCAAGTTTTCCATGACTCACACGATGAGCATGATGAATCGGAATTTTCACTCTCTATCATTTCTTGGTGCGTCCTTTTAACTTTTTGCAAGATCAGCCTTCTGAAAGATTTCCTACTTCCTGTTCTCGACTGGAAGAAATTTCTTCAGAGAACTCAATTAAGTACTTGTGGGACGATGGGAAATGTGAAAAACAATCCCAGGCAAGAAACCACGTGCTTGTCTCACGAGCACTCGAAGCAGAAAGTCACGCTTGCCGAAGTAGACATCGACCGGCATCGTTTTCCAACCACTGACTTATCGTTCCTGGCAGCGACACCGGTGCGCTTGAGTGCAAAAGTCGATAACACAGACGGTCATGATTGAACGGACAGGTGTCGCACAGAGCATAGTTGCACTGACGGCCAATCTGGGCTCGGCTTACTCAACTCAGCAACAGTTAATTGCTTTGTGGGGTAACTCGAGTCGATTTTTTGACCAGTGGATTTCACCCCGGATGCCGGCAATCCCAAATAGCTAGAACATGAGCACCTCTACTTCAGTAAAGTACCGAGCGACAGCCATGGACGTTTGCTGCTAGGGTTGGAGGTCGTCAGCAGGATGTTTTTTAAGCATCGCAGTGCTACACACCACAGACTTGCTTTTTTCGCAAAGTACGGCGAGCCCTACGCTCGGAGATTGGCGACTGCGTTTGTCTTTGTTCTGGTGTTCCTCGTCTCCGCCTATGCCGACTATGTGTTGACCGTCGTGTCGCAGGTGAGCCACCTACCACTTTCTGTTACAGAGAGTGACGGCGTTCGGTACTGTGTCGCAGGGCCGCGTACGCCGAAGATACTTCAATGAAGTTGGTTGATTTAGTGTCGCAACCACGTCTCATTCGAGTGGTATGCTGCGTGGTTATCGCACTGATTCACCATCTCGACCAAATTTATTAAGAATTATAGTCTAGCGCATATTTTTCAAAAATATGGACATGGAATTGATGCGTCTACGCGATCCTCCCTTCCCTTTGAGAGTTAGAAGTTCATTTCAGTAAGAGAGCGTTAAGTCAGCGTTACTACGTATTTCTCTCAACCGTAGGCATGCTTTCGTTTGCTGTTGGATCATCCCTTATCTGCATGGCCCGAAACTTCTTAACCCTTGAAGTACGTCTCATCCTTCTATACTCTTTAACATCTTGCAGGAATGAACACGATTGACCTCATGCCCAAACACTAGCTAGCCGTAATTTGTTCCCGATCAACGCTTGTAATCACGACCATATGCCGTGAAGGTCTCTAACACACACTGAAAACGCTCCTTCACTTAGTCGCTACGTCGGCCACAATCTAAAACACCTTAAATTGTCCTCATGAGTTGGTTTGGTAACAACGGTGACGTTCGGAGAGAATCACAACTACTATCACAAAATGACTGGAATAAGGGTTGGTTCGTTAACCTGCACCAAAGTTAGTATAAAATTGCATTAGCAAGACTGAGAGTTATCGAGCGATAGTTGATATTAACGCGTCCGTAAGAGAGTACACACAAAGCTGTAGGGAAGCTGATGAAGGATAGACGGAGAAACCTCACATTCTAAAACGCGAGCATACGTTGCCTGCGCATTTTGTGTTTACTCACACCGCGCCTCATAAAGTAAATTTTTCCCGCAGTGTTGTGCTTAGCGTTCCCTCTGCTTACCATGAACTGGGAACGTCGGACTTAATTGTGAAATATTTCGTACAGACGATTTCGTGCTTTCCTAATTTGAGAAATCTCTTCCACCCTGCTGATGACTTCAGACAGACGTTTTTCCAGTCTACTTTTTATAACGACTTAAGCCTTCCTGTCAATAACTCTAGAATCATCCTCCTGTTTACAATTTGCGGAAAATAAGTTGGTTTGACCGACAAAGGCCTACTCGTGTTGACACGTGCAGAAATAAGTTATCAATGCAAGGAGAGCGCGGAGAGATTATGGCACTTTGACTGTTGACATGTTTATTTCCAGTGCGCAAGTAAAACTTTGACTTTATAACACAGAGCGGTTGCGACACAGCCTGGACACTATTCAGTGAATTTGTGTCTCCTGTCGTGTTTCCAACTAACAAGCATGCTGCCGACCAAAGACACAACCCCTGACTGGTGATTGCGAAAATTTAACTAACTGAAGACTGTGCTAAGGACCGAGTCTAATTGCACCCCTGGTCCTTGATGTCGGCCCACTGCGTAAGATGCTCTCGGAAATCGACTCCAATTGGTGGTAGTTATTTGCGATATCGTGGACCTGCTTTATATGGCCGACCGAACCCGTCATGATTAATTTAATTGTATGTGCGTCTTGTAGATTTTTGTGCGCTTTATTCCTGTTACATCGTTAACATGAGCGAACTGGTCCTTCGTCGTTTCTGCGTACACAGCCGGCCAATTTTTGGTCTAAAGTTTCTTATTTAGCTTTCCAATGCCAAAAGCGCTTTCGTCGGTGTGGACATAGTTCTTTCTGAGTTTCTTCTGTCTGTTTTTCCGTGAAATGTGAGCATTAAAAATGTTTACAAATATACTACAGCGCTAGTCAGCATCTCAATATCACTCTCCTTGTCTGAACAAGTTTACTCCAGCTGCTAGAAACATACTTTTAAGTTCTGATCTGTTGTCATTTGAGTATACAAAATGCGCTCAATAATCTCACCTTTGGAGGCTTATTCTAACTACACACTACTCATTATAACTACTCGATCATATTCAAAGGCGCATTTTCATACTCCATTTCCTCTGCAGGACATGGAAAGATTTGATCGACTCTTGCAGGAGCAGCAAGTGGCAATTCAACAAACCGATGCGAAAATCGAAAAGCTTTCGAATTTTTGCCAGGACTACACGAGTCTCGTGCCAAAATTGGAGGAACTATCAAAACATTTCACAAAACGGGCCATCGTACCCTTTTCCCTCAGAGCCTTTGTTCCTGCCCAATTGGTCCACACCAATGAAGTGCTTGTCCATCTTGGTGGAAGCGCGGAGCATTTCTGCGAAATGTCAACCCATCAGGCCTTATCCCTCCTGGACTCGAGAATTAAGAGGATTAAGAGTGATATATCCAAGCTAGAAGAGCAGCGAAAACTTCTCACTGATAGGGAGATGCTTACTTCGAAATTAGCCCGAGGTTCAAACCCCTCCGATCTAAGTACAGATGCTCATGAGGACAACGAATTTGAAATAAGAGAGGAATATGATCCGGTGCGAGAGGAGGAATGGCTGCAGCAGCACAAGCGACGCACTATTGCTGAAAGAAGGAAAGGGCAAAGCACGGCACGTCAACAGAAGGTCCGATTTAGAGAGTCACCGTCACCATCCCCAGACGGGGATACCGAGACCTCTAGCTCTGAATGTTCAGTCTTGCCTAAGATTTCATTCCAACATTCAGATCAAATGCCCTTGATGATAACGGCGGATATTACCGATTGGAGTCAAGCTTCTCCTGCCGACGTAGTTTGCCATTTCCAAAACCAGCAGCGGAAGCTCTTGGAATCGTCTTTGTCGGCTGATAGAGTAGATGCATCAGAACTAACTGAGGAACGGACACAGCGGATGCCAAGGCAGTCGCCCTTTGGCGATGTTATAGAGCATGAGGCCCCCGAGACTGAACAAATTCCCTCCCTGATGACTTCCATAAGCACGGCCCCCGAGAAACCTGTGTCCAGATTTAGAGCACTTTGCAGACAGCGGTCTTCCAAAAGTTGATCAAAATATGCATATTTCATACCTTCCATCCCTGTACAAACGTATTTTCTCAAAGAAACAAACTAGCGTTTTTGCACACTTATCTTGCCCGAGCACTGACCGGCAGCTTCAGCATTCTAGGGTAATAGGGGAAGTCGAGCCATAGCCCTGCGTCAATCCCGCGATATCGTAACATAATGTCGAGGGGGCGGGAACACTAGCGGACTAGCGCCGCCCCTGCCTCAGTGTTCCTATACCCGCTGTCCTCCTAGCAACAAGAAGTGTGCCGCACACAGGTTCGGATCTCATATGTACGCGTTGCAAGAGCCAGGTCAGGGCGATATTACAGCCGGGCTACTCTGTCAATCATCAATCCTCCAAACCTAAACTTTTGGCGTTCCGTGATAGTTTAAAACGTGCCAAACTTTGTTTAGTGAGGTGTTCGTCGGATTGCCGGCCTCATCCTACCTTCCCTCTCACGCACCAGTAGTCTGTCTAGTGAGGCAGTGCGGAACCACCGTGCGCATGTACGGGAGTAATTAAGAACTAATATAGACTCAACGCAGCCTGGCAGGTGCATGCCACTTGGCTCCGTTTTCGTCTGGTGGGAGGGCGCCACAGCTCTTACCACGGTGTAATTGAGGATCGTGTATTATCTCTCCTTTCTTCGATTTTCCCAATCAAATGGTCTGGACCCATCTGATACCAAACGGTGTTAGGCCCTACGTACAGGTTCAACAGCCTCAGATTATTTCCAAAGGGCAACAGATTGATGACTATGGAGTCACAAAAGAGGATAGATCAAAAGCGCTAACTTCAGACGACTCTTTATTTCGGGACAGAATATGGAAACAACAGTGCGAGGGACTGAAGTGTATGTACAGAAGCGCGATTTCGATTGTGGCACAAGTTACACGCAGGGACCTGAAACATACAAAGTGGTAGCGTAAGCAGGCCTGACAGGAAGTACCATCGACCTAGTCCGCAAGTAATTCTCAGAACTAGTCATTGTAAGAAGTTAACTCGGCATTTGCATGTGGGAGAAAAGTAAACTTAGTGCCAGATAATGATAACTGAGTAAAGCGTCCAGAATACGGTCCTGTTGGTGGGTGACCGGCCGGGGCTTAGCGTTAGACCAGTCGTGTGGCTTGTGCAACGTAAGTAGCTTCGGAAAGCCGGACTAATAAGGTTTGTAGATCTGGCTGGCATAAGGTGAATACAATAGTTGTAGGGTATCCGACGGACGGGTCGTAAAAGATTGTAAAACGGCCGGGCGCCACTTCTGGCTTACTAGCTCAGTAGCCTAGCTGCCGCTGTTTATTTGGTCTGAATAAGGGAGTTTCTTTTTTCGGCCAATAGTCCACACTACACGTGAAACCAATGAGCTCTTTGAGGGGCACTACACGGAAGGGAAACCCTTCCTCTCTTTTTAGCTTGGGAGGGTGGGTTTTAAGTTCTAATTTCGATGCTAATAAGATTACAATAACAGTAAACAGTCTTACCGAGATAATCGTCCATGAGGGTTCCAACGGCAAACTGCACGGAAAAGAGAAAAGTCAGGGAGTACTCAAAAGGAGGGGAAGATTATAAAAGATAATACTGGCAAACGCATGGCATGTGCGTTGTGCTGTCGAAGTTCGGGTGAATTTCGAAAGGTTGAGCCTGGCAAAACTGAGGTCTCATAGTCACCGCCGGTGTTGCGACAGAGAATACAGTTTGCCACTTACTGAGTTTCGTCTTCGATCTTTCATCACTAACTTAGAAAGTGAATTCGAGGATTACAAGAGCCTGTGGAGCACACTGACTACCTCCAATTCTGACATTGATGAAACGTTTTCTTGGTCAATAAGACTTGTCTTTATAGGAGGGCAAACAGCTGACGCAGTTTATAGTTTTGATATCTGTCGGGGCTGGGTAGGGAGGACTATCCATCCTATTCGTATCGGGTAAGTTCCAATTACTGCAGGACTAAAGGACTTCCGTTCGATCGGAAACCAGCTCAAAAGACGTGAACGATTTCAAAAGGCATATTTTTGTTAAAACACACACGAGAATGAGTGCTTGAAGTAAACGATACAACTGCAACTGCGATACAACTGCTGTCACGACTCTCGGCGAGGTCTGACACAATCGCCTTTCGAATGGGGAAAACCGACGTGCAGAATGCTAAACAATGTACCTAGCTAGATTTAGTCGAGAAACTACACAAATAGGTACTGAAAGCTAAGTGTCTTAGCTGCCTGCATTACCTGTTAACTGGTTTTTGCAGTCCCCAAGGGAACTTGGTGATTATTACAGCTGAATCACAATGATGCTCCCTTAGGAAATCAGCTGGGTATGAAAACAATGAACTAACTACTAGCCTGACTTTAGGACGACACGCAGATTCACAGCCGCGCACTCGACCACTAACTCGCGGGAGATGAAGTCTCGAGAGGGGATGGGCATGATACAACGCCGGGAAGCATCTAACCAGTGATGTGACCAGTGCTGAATACTCTGGTCAGGAAGCCTACCCCGTCCAAGAGTGAGGCAAAAAAGTTGTTCGTTATGACTCCAAACCATTTGACTTCCTTTTATTTGCTCGACCCGTTGCGAAGAATAAGACGATGAGCCAAGCATTTCAAAGAGATCAAAGTGCAGGCTGGTGCTCGGAATCAATAAGGCGAACAACAGATAGGAAATACACTGACAGTTTGGTGCCAGCTACTGTCTAGTCTGCTTCGGGGTCGTGAGGGTTTGTGACTATTTGGTTATAAACAGACATTCGTTAGCCCGATTATAATAACATGACAGTTTATTCGTCGATGACGATGAGCACTACCGGTTTCGGAAAACATTGATGACATGAGCGTGGATTCGCTTATACCGGGCAGTACTTCAACACAGTCGACTAAAATATTGTCATCCAACCCCATGACACTCTACAGACAACTGTAGGTCCAGACAAGTGGGGATAGGTTTGGATGGATTTGCTGCCTTGACCTAAAGTCCCCGTCTAGGCGTATTAGAGCACGTGCTTGTACCTCTTTCGACAGTCGAACCATGGGGGAAATCAGATCACCGGCCCTCGAGACGCACTACTGCCGCGCTCGTTCGATTTCTCTCTACAGTCAAAGTGGGTACAGGGGTGCGTGAGCAGCGTCAAGTAGCTTCTTGTAACTACAGGTAAGGACCGGGCGGAGTCAGCGTGCAAATGACCATCTTATGCGGTGACACATTCTATGAAGCTGTCAATTCGTCAAACTGATTATCCATCTCACATGCACGGCCATAGAAGTTTGGTCCATAGAATGCAAGCTGTAAAAAGGTAGATGGTGACAGGATACGCAATCATTGCAGCGATAGATGGAAAATTAAATTAAGAATAGAGTTTCGAGACGATGGATGATGAGGGAAAGTGGAAGGGAAAGCAAAGTAATCAGGAGAATTCGAGGGATGAAGGGCGTGTGCTGAGAATGCGAAATGGGAAGTCGGAAGAGGAAACTCACTATGTCGCTCGCGTCTACGCGAAGGCCCATAATGCGAAGTCGGATGCGATCCTCCAATTGGACTATCTGAGTCTACGGGAACAGGCAGGTATTAGTAAAGGCCAGCAGCAAGGTCCAGAAGTAATGATAGGAGTGGAACCAATTAAAATAATTCGAAAAACATTCAGAACAAGGTTCACTGGGGCATCCTCCATGTACTCTCGCCAGGCCTATGATGGTACGTGGTAACGCTGTGCCTGAATGGAAACCCCACCAAAACGGGAGGGTCGATTCGTTTGATAGAAGAATCTTGAGCGAAATAGAGGGCGAGGAATCTCGGCTGGCATCTCACGGTGCGTGGGCCGTCGCAGACGAAAAAAATTTGACCACACCTTGTCAGAGCGTCCATTAAAATACGCCAAAGTAACGCTACCGTGGGATCCAGCTGACCACATGGCCAACTACCTATCGGTGATGCTTTTAAAATGATTGCTTGGGGCCTTAGCACTGAACGCTAAGTCTTTCTATCCACGGCCAAAGTTGAGGTCAGACTCGATGCCATCGAGGAAAACGTGGGGTATACAGTATACTTCCGGAAGCACGCACTCAAAGAAAACAGTAGTAAACTTCTTCTATTAGCACCCGAACAGACCACCAGTAAATTGAGGTTCCATAAAATAGGACGCCTCGATACACTCCAAAGATTCCAAATAAATAAACACAGGAGCAGTGAACAGAAAGGGTTGAATATCAAACTTTGGTACTGTTTGAGGCAAGCACACTCAGAAAGGCAGGGAAATAGAAAGACAAAAAGGAAAACGTTGGAGTACAGGTGCAGTCGGTTTCCTGACTAGACTTAAGTTCGAACAACTCAGACCTATGGGAGCATGCACTCCTAACTGTTTAATCTGCCTAAAATTCTGAAAACGACATTCCAATCAAATAAAGTAAGCAGTCAGGCAATTCCAGTCAATCTTAAAATAAGACAGTAAAACATGAGATCGATTCGGGCCTACCGGCGAATTTGAAAACAAATATCAGCAGAATGATCGTTTTTCGGTCAGGCGTGGTAGTCCCCTTCGCCAGCAGGTTCGATATTTAAACTGTCAATCACATCTGCGAGTCCATAGGGAACTATTATTACTAAATCGGAATGGAGATAGAATACCCAAAGCGTTGTTACTGACAGGTAGTCTGGGGAGCAGTTTAAGTCCGCCGGAAAAATACGAACGAAGAAATGTGGAGAGTAGGTTTGCCTGTTAGCCTAGCTGCCGGCTGTCCGGTGAGTCTACAGGTGATGAATAGTGGAACGGCATTTAGCGAGGACTGACGGCGAAAAAGACTCTCAGATCTGACAAATAAGCGCTCGAGGACAGTAATGCGGTTGTGCCTCCAGACGTAACCATGCACTGCTCTCGCAAATCACTCCTCCCCCCCCTCCCCCATAAAAATGTATGAGCTATGGGGTCATTACGAAATGGCGGACGTTGCCTGCCATCCAACGGGCTTTGCTTGCTGTTGTCGTCTACGATTTTGAATACTACCCAAAGACCGGGAATGACGGAGGACACCCGTTTAATCATATCCCTGCTGCACGTAACTCCCGTTGTGGAGTCCATGGGAACCAACGGGGAATCCCCGATACCAAAAGCTAAAGCAACTTATCGCCAACGACGCGCTACCTACGTATGGTATTGGCATCGCCTGTCAGAAGTCCAGGCGCTTGAGTTCGACAGTGACGTAGATGACAATCCCAGCAGGCACGGCGTCTTTTTCGCACTGTTGCAGATGAATCGGGTGCTCCTGGCATACAAGCCTTCTTCTGACATACCCAACATACGGCTTAAGGGCACAATCACTACCATAAGTGTAGTGGCTGTCGATGTCCCCATCCTCAATGCAAATGTGGATGAAAACACTAGTTTTACCACCGTTCTCACAAGCATTTTTCTCTTATTTTCCTCTCTCAGGTGATAAAAAATTGCTACATGTGACTGAAATACGAGCATTGGTATGGTTGGCCCAGATATCCGTCACGCCGTTATAAAGCTCTCCATCGGTGATCAGGTTGGACATGCTGCCCGACTTAGCTTTTTAGAAGTCGGGGTGATATCTGGATAATACCAGGTTCCAGCAGTCAGAACACTTGGACTACACGAACACTGTTGCAACGGTTGACCGCATTCTTATGGAGAAGTGACTCAGCTGCCGTTGGATTCTCGGAGTCGATACGGGCAGTGGGCATAGTTCAGACGTGCCAAATAGAGAGATAAACCATTTCCGTAAAGCTCCCCTATGACTACAACTTTGTGTCATCCTCTACCATCAAACTAGGGTGATAATTCAGCGTCTTGGAGATAATAGAGTCAGAGGCGAGACCGTCGACTGAAGCGTACATGAGTTGGTTAAATGGTAATTCGGAGCGACTTGGTAAGATGTGTAATTAAGTTACAAGTGTTTTTTCTCAATAATAAGGTAGCAGCATAGTCGACGTCGTCCCGAAGATATCTGCAGGTATCAGGCTGAACTATTTCCGTCCCCGTATGAACGCAAAAACAAGGGAAAATCAGAGGGGACTTCGTTCTAGCAGAGCTTGCTTTGACCAGATATTTAACAATGTTTGCAATAGAAGACAATCGTCCCTCTCAGTGTTTTTCTCTGTCTATGGATCTGCAAGACTGTGATGGCGGATGGTGTGTTTGCAGCAGGGAATTGAGTTTAATCAAGACATACTATTAACTCACGTAAGCAAAGGCTCGAGATCAATGCGATGAAAGGAGGCACTTCGCTGTGCAGTCTGACGCCCAACAAGATTACGCCCCCAAATTAGTCCTCGTTGATTATATTCACATGCTCAGTTCTGTCAACGGCATTCAACAACTGCGAAATCACCGACGTTCGGGAAGACCCTCACGTCTCTGGCTCATATTATGTCAGTAACATCACCTTGCCTGGAAATTCCTTTGAGGAGGGGCAATTCGATCCGTTTGTGCGTTAAGAATATTAATATTCAAACTGAACCCCGGATAAACAGGAATACTACTCGACGATTTTGCATTTCATGGCTATTCCTCTTCTAGATGGAAAGCGGCTTGAAGTTGTGGAATAGTTCGTTTCTGATGCCCTTTGTAACCTATATGTTAATATCGAGTGGCAATGAACGGAGGCGTATACTTCACCCGTAACATGCTCTGTGGACTCTAGAAGTGCGCGGACATTCTAGCAGGGATTGGCAAAGAGAAAGACCGTGCATATCCGGTTACGGTCGAAGCCATCGATAGTCATGGCTATAGAACGTGGCCGCTACGTGCCACCAATCTGACGAAAACATGGATGTCTAAGAAATGAGGCCTCTGGAGAATACTACGATTGCAGTCCGCGACCGCGTTTTAAATAATCAACCCAGTTTCCGGTCGAAGACACCTACTGGGTGGCGATGCAAGGAAAGGCTCGGCCACGTACGCCGACCAACCAAATGGGGGCGTATTCGCGACTTCACCTCTACAAATTCCTGTCCTAGTTGATATCTCCGTCGTAGCTGCCAACTGTACGAGTGGAAAGACATTGTCCGGGAGTCGACCGCCAACTGTAACTTAGCGTCTCACCAACGATCGCCGGATGGTGGCCACACCAAATCGTAAGAACACGATTTGGGACCCGACTGGATCAGCATTGGTGATAGCCGAGACGGGACTAAGAAGAGGTGGTTAGCGGGAACTGTTGGGCTAGCCTGTACTAAACTCCAGTGTTGTGCGTGGTATCTATACTGGCGAGGGAAGCGATTCTAGCCGTGACCCCGGCTCAGAATACGTGTTGTGGAAGAAGGACGACCTGAGATAAACATCGTGCGAAGACTCGCATACTTTCCGTTCCGTCTTTTCGAGCTGTTTCCTAGCTCTGTAGTGAGCAATAGCTGCCTCTGACTATTAAGTCGAAGTAAACAAGCATTAACTGAAGAATCGCATGGAGGGACGGGCACATTACGCGATCCTAAGGGCTGGTAGTGCAGGGGTTGCCTGGTCTCCTAAACGCGAAATTTAAGTGTAGCACCGTGAGACTAGGCGTTTAACACAGCACGGCTGAAAGGAATTATAATGTAAAACTGTCGTGAGGAAACTTGTGTTCGAGTACTCTATTTATTCAAGACTTCTTGCCTACCGAGTTTCCGTTCGTCTGGATCGTTGCTATCTTAAGGTATAAGAGACGAAGAAACCTCATTCTTTGATCTGAAACTATGCCTTCTTCCCTCCTATTTCAGTTGGTAATTCACTCTCTATTATTTAAGGCAGTCAAATACAGTATATTTAGGCCTGACTGCGAAATTAGATCTTAACGACCGTAAAAGCGGCAGTGCCAAAGTGGTTAGGCTGGACACCGGACCGCTGACGAGTTATTCTCTGGCAGACAGCGTGCGAGACCAAAACAGTGGGAGTGGTGGCTTTTCACTGGTAACAGTGTTGATTCTATATCGGACAAACGGTCGAGGGAAGTAAGTCGCAGTGCTCCTTAGGGGGAATTCGTTGTCGAACACCTTGAACTGATAAGGGCTAACAGTAAGTAAGGAACGTCTGACTTACGCGGTTGCACTTCCTATTCTGTCGGTTGGAGCCGAGTCCTTATGTAGGAGGGATCTCAGGGTACCGCAGGTTCAAGGGGAAGCACGAAAGCTAACTAGAAGTCTCTAAATCGAGGGGTATTTCTTCCCCATAATATCGGTCCAAATCTTCGCGGTCTAGTAATACGTGAGGGAGTAGCCTCATTACGATACCACGTGAAAGCCGGTTACAACGACTAAACACGCCACAAGAAGTAGGCAAATAAAAACTCTGGAGCGAAATACGGACGAGCCGTAGCGCAAACAACGAAATTTCATCCAGACTTCATGGAGACACGCATCATGAAGTAAACAGATAGAAATAAGCGAAAAACAAACCTCCTCTTCATCTTCGTTGTTGTTTTCGACATTTGTGTCAGCGCCCTCGAATTTGATGTTTGGTGGAATGGACTAAAAACATTCAGAAAAGGTACGGTCGTACGTATTGTGAAATAAAGACAGTTAGTGGTCCGGCTTCGGCGAAGACACCAACTTTATTCACTTGAGTTACGATCGCGTCAATAACTTCTCCTTTAAACGGTCGAAAAACAATGGCCCTATAAACTATATGATACTGCACAAATCCCCTTCCAGGGAGTAGAATGCCGGCACCGATGTGCTCGATACTCGTTACTGCAATGATAAAACCGCATCTTCCACACAGTTAAAAAGACAAATAGCGTACTTTCCGGAGCATGTACCCTCGACATCAGAGAAAAGTTTTGCCTTTACGGTCTCAATGAGATTCGGACCAAAATACTTCGGATGCAATAATATTTCATGTTCAAGTTTAATCTAAAGTTGATAATTTTAAAGCAGAGAGGGCGAATACGTGATAAAACATGCTTCAGCGACCGACCGGTCACCACTTATTCCGCCTGCATTTTAGCTCAGTAAAACTACATGGTGAAGATTCGAAAATATAAATAAATGGTCTTCGTCGTCGATCGATTTTCTTTCCACTTACTTAGACATAAACCTGTCTCACGAATATTCGTCTTCGTTCAAAACTACAATATTTGAAAATCTCACTGTATAAGACTTTATTTGGCCTAATTGTAAAAAACTCAACAACCCCAGTGGATTTCGAAACCATGACAACAAGGACAAGGCCTTAACACATCCAAAGCTCTCACCATCTGAGTTACGAGGTCTCACCGGGAGTCATAAATTTAATTATATTTTGGTCCATTTGCCCACCCAGACGTCGGCATCGCATTGTATCTACCAAGTCTAACATAGTAAGTCAATTTCCCAGACAGGATTTCCTAAGCAGTCAGTCTAGAATCCTCCAGATGACTTCCGGGCCTTTTTAAACCAAAGGCGGTTTGATAACTTTGAATAACTCATTTGTCCCAACCGTGAGAAAATCGAAAGCATCAGTGAGATTCAATCCCACGGTAGCAAGGTCATGGTTTGAGTATAGCAAATGAACTAATCCGTTGAGCGCCTTACAATAAACCAATTCCATTAT